TGCTGCTGTGAAGCTTCTAGAACCTGTCCCGCATGTTGTTGTGATGGTTGTCTTCTGAATACAATGACTGGAAGAGACCGATGCAGTGCGTGGTGGCCGTGCCCCTTCAGGAAGTCACCAAAACGTGCGGGTGGCAGCAAATGGAGAAATCCTTGCCAAAGGGGGAAGACGCGCAGGTCCCTGCACTGTGTGCTGCTCCAAGCCTGCTGTGGTTTGGTGCCACATGAGATGTAGCATGTGTAATTTAACTTCTCTATTTCGGAGAAATCTAAATCCCATTAGGACGTGGGGATGATGCGTGGCCAAAGCACATGGTGGGCTGACACTGGTGCAGGAGGCTGAGGTCCCCTGGGATCGGTGTGGTTGAGCAAGAAGGAGGAAATGTTAGGCTCTCTGCGTAGCAAGCAGCTACGCTTGGAAGTGCTGGCTGTGTTTCTCAGTGCCTGTGAGAAAAAAGAAAATGTGCTGTGGGTGTAGGAGAAGCAGCTCTCTGAACGGCTCGAGGCATGTGCACCCTCCGCCGTTGGCTTCCATGTGTGCAGTTGTCTCCTGGGAATCGCCGGGTAGGGAGGCAACGCAAACCAGCTGCGACTTCCGTCTCGTCCCAGCTGTGGTTGGCAGTTCCAGCGTATCCTGCCTTACTGGTTTAAATGGTAAGTCCTGACTGTCGCACTTGACGGAACGCCAAAGGACGGTTTCCATCCTCCCTTTGGGAGGAGGAGAGATTTGAAAAACAGATAAAAAGAATGAGAGGCAACTCCAGCACAGCGTTAATTACAGTAGGCACCTTCAGGGCGGTAAGTACTGCGTATCGGGGGAGGTTTAGTGTTAGAAAGAGCAATTATGTTCTAGGAAGTTCTTTGGTCTCGTCCGTTCCTGTCTGTCTCTCGGGTGCACACGAGGTTTCCTTTGGCTCAGGACCATTCAGTGGGACGTTTGGAGGGCTGAGGACAGGCAGTTGATGCCTTGAAACCGCTGATCTTGGCAAAGATACTGAGGTCATGGCCAGCCCAAAGCTTTGCAACTGAGGAATGCGTGCAGCTCCCTGGGAAGGCTGGAGATATCTCCATTGACATTGAAGATGTTTGTGCCGTGTTGACGCTATTCCGCAGGAGGCCCGGCATCACATCGTGCGCAGAGACTGAGATTTCTGTTCTGAGAACAGCGTGTTTGAGGGATGTCCCAAGCTCCACGCTCTAGGATTTCTGCCTTCCAGCAGCGTGAGCAGTGGCTGCTGCGCAGCGCCCAAATGCAGGGAGACGCAGGGGGAACAGAGCAGGTTGTTCCTCATCATCTTTTTTTCCTGTTGGAGTCTTTCATTCCGTATTAGAAGAGGAAACCTGCGTCTGATAAGGAATGAAAAATGCCGTAGTAAGAATATTACTACTCTGCTATTGTAAGAATATTACTACTCTGCTATTGTTGTACTTCACCTGAATAAGTAGGTGCCTTAGCATGTCCTAAAAATGCTGCTGAAAGGGAAGGCGTTGGGTTTTCACCCAGTTGGAACAGTGTCTTGCTTGAAATTGAGCTTGTATTCAGACCTCACTTGCTTTTTGTACTCTTGGAAGTTAAATGCTCTGTTCTGGCCTCCGATCGGACGTTTCTGTGCTTACAATGGGTGCTGATGCTGGAAGAGGCCATCGTGGCCACTTCTGCTGCTGCACTGGCCTTGCCTTGAGCTGGCACCAGCGTGTGTGCAGCTGAACTGCTCAGCACTCGGAGCACTGACGGAGCTCAGAGCTGGCCGGTCTGGGTTTCATCCCACAGATGCACGGGCAGTTGTGCCGGGAGCAGGACCGGAGCGAGCGGGGCGTGTGGTGCAGCGCTCAGCAAGTGACTTTACTGCATGTGTGCAGTTCCTTATTGAGAATTGCATCGGCTGGTGATCCGGTGAGTCAAAACCTGTCCTGGAAGCTCAGCAGTGGTCACCCTAAGAAAGGTTCTGCAGCTGTTGCTCCTTCATCAGGTTATCATGCTGTAGTGCTTAGAGTGAACGCTGAGACTGGGGGTGTGAAGTGGAAGCCGCTCTGTCACGTACGGATAGGGACGTTCGCTTTCCGTGTGTCTGCGTGTGCTTTAGCAGCTGTAGTGTAGTTGCAACAAATATCACGAGAAGTGATCATTCAGCTCGGAGCACTTCAGTCTGACTCAGGGCAGGTCTTTGGGGCCGTCTCTGCAGGGGTTTAGCTGTGAGATCCCAGCTTCGATCCTGCGCCTCTGGGAGACAGGCGAAGCGCGAGACGCTCCCGTGGCCGCCTGTGCCTTGGCAACAGCCGCTCGCGCTGGGGGGTGTTTGTGTTTTCCT